TTGGAAAAAGAAAAAAAAAAAAAAAAAAAAAGTACTTCATTCCATTCTCTACATACTACATATTCTGCATCTCTTAAAAGAGAGAACAGAAAACAAAACAAAACAAAACAAAAACCACAGCTTTTTCACAGTGGGAAAACTGACATTGGCAACTTGTACCTTGCAGCTTAGGTCAAGGAGCTTTGCTCCCTTTCTGCCTATGCCAACAACTGCTTCTCCACCGCCAGAAACACCACGTTCCCCAGCACTTGCAGTGCTGCTGTTAACCGCAGACCTCTTTCAGCAACTAGAATAGTGACTTTCCTAGAATATTTTCCCACTAGAAGCAGTTTGTGCAGCATGTTTTGGTACTCAGATTGGAGCTCCCTCATTGGGACATACCTCTTTGGAAACAAGCTCTTGATGTGCTACGATATGTTCTTCTTGCCAGCAATGATGGACAACACCGCGTAGCTCCCACCTAGCTCATTCCCATTTCCCAAGAGCAGATCCCACCACACACCCACACACACACACACAGCATCTTCCCCAGCCTGCGGGCGCTCCGACTGCTCCTGCAGCACAAGGACCAGCCAGGAGCGATGCCTCCTTCCTTGGCATTGCAGCAAACAGGAAAGCTGTGAAGGGAAATGAGTGAAAGGAAAGCTGTCAGCTCATATGGGGAAATAATTCAGGTACCAATTTATTCCTTTTGGGCTTCTTCCTTTTCCAGCTGCCTTCTACCAGTCTCCACTCACAACATCAATGATGGAGATGAGAACTAGCCCACAAGGCAATCTGAAGGAAACAGGCTCTGGAGTGTCCACAACTAGAATACGCAGAAGGAAATTTAAATTACAATTTAGGACGCAGAGATAGTCAGAAGAGGAGTTAACACTAAAACAACCTACTCCTAACCCTTTGCTGCAATGATCAGCTGTGATACTTCCAGCCTCACCTGGTGCTTTGGTTCTTTAGAAGCCTTTGAAGAAAGAACTTCTCAAAAGCCTTGTAAAATTACAGATGAAATTTATTAACTGGTTCCTAATTATCCATTTTAAGCCTGGGCTCATGACTTGATACCAAACTGATTCAGCTTTTCCTGCTTTATTAAAAAAAAATGCACGGTTGGAGCTAAATATTCATTCTTTTCTAACCTATTAATTAAATGGCAAGCAAATCTTTAAGCCTGACACCCAAGACAAGGAGGTAACACAGAGATTACTGCCTAATACCCAGTAATAATAAGGTACTGGCAACAGTTTTTCAATTAGGGCCCCTGCTACCCAATTCTCCTTTTACAGAGCATAAAAGAGAGACTAATAATAGACTAATAGACGTTACAACACACTGGTAATAATCCAGCTTGACGAATTCAGCAACACCTCTCTAGATGTGACACGCCATTACCAGGGGCGAGGGTTTGACCCAGGAACGGTAACGTCACACGGAGAGGGCCCGACGGCAGCGCGGTTGTGCTGCTTTAGCTGAAAGGCTAACCCCAAACTCCTGCTTTGGTTGCAGTGACATCATCATGCTGTCAGCTGCTCCAAGGTTACTTATTTTTGGCCCGGGCGTTGTTTCCCTGTGTCTTACCTTGATCTCTCATCATGTCCTTTATTGAAGGCTTCTGAATCTCTTACGTAACTAAATATTTATTTCTCGACTACCACGCATGCTGTGATCATTTTAATACCTCCCTTTCGGAGAGCTGGTTCACAGCAGCTGCTCGCACCCGATAGATGTGCATCCTTGTGGGAGCTGGTGGCTCCAGTGAGCAACTTGAACAAACCTTGAAGGAGTCCTCCTCCTGCTCCTGGCCAAGGCCTCCCTGTTGAGGGCCTTCTTCATGGCTGGTGCTGCCCGGAGTCATCCTCCTCGTGGCCAAGGCCTCCCTGTTGTGGGTCTTGGGGCAGCACCGGGGTGTTGGGGTAGCAGTGGCAGCGGCCCCACTCGCACAGTTCAGGGCTGCTGAAGAGCAACCACCATCCCGTATTTCCCCTCGGGCCTCTCCCGCTTCACCAACTCTTCTTTGTGAAGATGACAAGATTTTTGCTTTATTTTTGACTCAAGACTCAAGCTAAGGGCCTTTATCTGATTTGTAATGGCAGCAAGGGAGTTTTCAACAAGACCAAATCCTATATCCAGCTCATGGCACAGTCCCGCTATCAAGAGGGCCAAAAACTTACAGTCCAGACTCAGGCACAACCCTCTTGCTGCCTCCTCAGTCAGTGGCTGTGCTGCACCCTGTTATCTCCCTCAGCAGCTCCACTTCAGCTTTTCCAGAGGTCAGCCACTATTCATCTGTGCTAAGTACATCCGGTGTGGGAAGCCAAATCCTTAATCCTATTTTGTGTGTCTGCTTTTATACGCACACCACAGCTCTCCCCCACCAAGCCTTTGCTTGATACAAGAAAATCCTCGGCTGCTGTCTCTGCTCTGTGTCAGAGGTTCAAAAGAGAACTGTACCCTGGCTGGCTTAAATTCTTGCATGTATAGCAGAGGGCCTTAAAACTAACACACACCATCACTACTTAAGGCAGAAAGCAGGGAACTACGTGAATTTGCACAGCCACTAAGCCGTTTGAGGTCTGCAATTATGATACAAGCTCACACTCCCTCAAAAATATAGGAATTAGTTAGGATTCTAAAAAATGGCTTAGGTGCTTGTGCATTTACTTGAGGGGTTTATTCCCCTTTGACATGTTTTCCTCCAGCCCCTCCTAGATGAGAATCTCCTCACAGTTGATCCCAGTGTGGATTCTTCCCTCCTGCATTCGGGCTCACATGGGCCTTAAGAGCCTCCTCTGCAGGACCGTCTGCCAACAGTTCCAGCACGTGCTTACAGAAATGACTCCTGGCTCCTTTTAAACGACACTCAGCTCTTAAGAGGATATAAAAAGAAAGAAGAGACAGCACAATGACACTTCTATACTTTACACAAGCAAAGATTAAGGGCAGCATATATACATATTAAAAGAATAAAATAAACACACACAAGAGTTTGGGGAAGTGACAGGTATTTGCAACTACATCACAGTTCCACAGCACTGCTTTGATAATGCTGAGGTGAGGTTAGTATCTGCCCTTCCACTTGTCACACTTAAATCATTTTCCAACCCCTCTGAACAAATATGTATTTTGTGTTATATATATGTGCATGTTGTATGTATATATGTGTATAAAATATATAAATACCACATATGTATCTCTACTGAAACCGACCCATTAGTGGGACTGCAATAAGTATTTTAAATAGCAGGCAGATGTATTTAGGTTGCTCAGGAAAAATGCCAAACCAGTTGCCACCCGAGCACGTTCATCGGTCGAGCCGAGGCAAATGGCTCGACATCATTCATCAGGATGTGGGGGCTGCTGAGGCTTCACCTGCACCTCCCTTACTGAGGCACTGCTTATTGTGCAAGGGGTAAATTCTTCCCCGGATTAAAAGGGAAAAGTGCCTTTGATGAAAGGAGGCAAGTTTACTATACCTGAAAAGAGGAAGAATCAAATCAAAAGGCATCTTAACACCACCAATCTTCACCGAACAGTGAGTTTAAACACAAAAGTCAGTGGAGAGGAATTTTGAATTGATTTTGTTTACACACAGAAGAAACTGGCCATCTACTGCTTTTTTGAATAGTATCTTCCCTTTTCATGTTGGACTAGAATAAATTTTAATACTATAAAGAAGCATTTCAACAAGATAATTAGTAAAAGAAATAGAAAATGAACACTTTGTTAAAAAGCAGCATCAAAAAGTATCTTATCCAGATGCAAGGCAGCAAAATCCAGGTCCACCCAGGCTCTAGATTGCAAAGTTGTTTATTCATTTTCTCCTGTAATGAAGAGGTGCACATTTTTTTTGGACTGTAGCATTTGAGCTGTGCGATCTATGCCAACAACAGCAGCCAATTTCTGAGCATCATACTTGGAATAGAGGACAGTACAGGTCCAAGTGGCATCCACTCCACTGTCTGTAGCCTTCATCATATTACAAATCTCACTGTAGAAGTGGGGATAGGTTGGTAACTCGTAGAAAATGAGGTTCTTAATGCCTTTTATTGTGTACCTGCAGTAGGAAAGAAACAAATCACATTGGCCTGCAAATTTCCACAAAACGTGTAAGTTAGAACAGTCAATCCTATCTCAGTTCTCCTGATTTCCATCATTTTCAGTGCACATTAGTGTCATTAGCTCTGCTTGACAAACTCTGCATTGTGCACAGAAGACTAGTTCGTCACAGATGGAGTATTAAGAGCCCTAAGGCTGCCAGGCATTGTGACTCTCTGAAGTACAGAGTACCATGAGTTTCTACAGAACTCAGGTTCTTTGGCTTGAACTATAAGACAGCAAAGCCTGGTCAGGTTGAGGCTTCTAGAACAGTTCATATTTGACAAAAGAAAATATCTACTAACAGGAAAAAGAGTTCTATTAGAAATTTCCATAACAGCTCCAGTCAGGCTGTAGCAAACTTTCCAAGTTGTGCTGGCTGTCCACATCACATTATGGAACTAACTCCATGCTGTTTTTGAGACATTATGTAATATTCTGGTGCAAACACTAATTAAAGGCACAGTGAATCCCAGTTTGCAGCTCTCCTGACACCAGTGGAACTTGGCAGCGCTAAAATTCCTGAGTAAAGCCCTATTCATATCAAAACATTAGAAGTTCTGCAAGAGACTGCAGGCAATGTTAAAAAATCCCACATTATCTGAAAAGCTCTTAGTTTGGTTAAAGTCTCCAGACAGTTAGCTGTTCCAGAAAGCAATATAGCAATATCTATGTGATCTATGCCTAATGTCAGGCTCTACCTCCAAAACACACGCATGTCAAAGGAAAAGCCAGCCCACAGTTCACCTTTTGTAAAAGTGGAAGCGCTCAGTGAGCAGTAAGAACTGCTTTTCTCCTTTGAGGAAGAAACGCCTGGCTCTGCAGATGCCACCTTTTTTAGTGTATTCACAAATGTGGACAAAATTCAGCTCCTCTTTCTTGAAGTAATTTCGAAGACGCACATAGTCAAAATATGATGGAACATAGATGAGTGTGTGCGACATGATGGCGTCACGGTACTCAGGCAAAACTTTGTCAATGAAGAACTGGAACCTGAGAAGAGAACACAAAAATGTCTTAGCCAGAATGAACACTCACCTTCCATATACCGATAGGGTCTCACAGAGAAATATCAGACACACAAGATCACTGAGAATTCCCGTACTAGATTTTGCTGCTTTTACTTCTTACGGTTTCTACACTTGTACAAGATGAAAAGCAAAGGTTACATTGGTACTATGAAGATATGGCAGCCTGGTATTTCCTTCACAGAATCACAGACTGGGAGAGGTTGGAAGGGACGCCTAGAGATGATCTAGTCCACCCTCCCTGCTCACGCAGGGACACCTAGAGCTTTCTGTGGGCTTTATTCTCCAGTGCCTTTGGCATGAAGTCAGTACTCTCCAGCAGGGCCTAATTCACACCCAAAGGCTATCGAGGGCACACTTCTGTTGTGAATGCACTTTGGCCCTGTACCCTGCAGCAGCAGCACGCTCTGCTAGCTGAGCACATCTACATTTGCAGTCACTGAGGCACAGCAGAAGAGCCCACAAAGCACAGTACCTTCTATCTATTACTGAAGTTAAGCTCTCAACTTCCAGCCTCCGGAACACATGAGGAAGCTGCACCACAACCTGGCTGATGGAGCCGATCTGCGGTATGTTCCGGACGGCTACCTGCAAGATTAAAGAAAGACACTTAGGGAAGCAGTAAACGATGCTTTGAAAGTCACTCTGAGCACTTTCTGCTAGTGATTCATCTTCAGGCAATACTGCCTTTTTTTTTTTTTTTTTTCTTTTTAAAAAAAAGCTATATTTACACATATAAATATAACAGACCTATTAAAGATAGAATTGACTACTATAGATAGAATTGACTACTGATTATCTCCTGTCTTTCATACATCTGAGGTGGAAAACTCAAGTTCTCACTTTTCGTACTTCTCTCAGACGTAACATGTTTCTGAGCTTCCTTTTTTTATATTAGGAAATAAAGCAAGAAAATCGCTCACTTAAACAAATGAAACAAGATAATTTATGCAAGCATACAAAGTTAAGAACAAAACCAAACCTAGTTCGACACACAGCTGTTACTTGCAAAACAAAAGGATCAAGTCCTGCTACAAAAAGAGCAGTATTTCATAGTTTTGTCACAGCATCAGAAATATTGTGCATCATCAGAGAGATTCAAACTGAGACACCTGGCTAATGGAACCTGCTGGCACACAGAAAGTAAAACTCTTTGTAGAAGGGAACGTGGAAGGCTTCCGTGCGTTGGGTTTACTCCTCTCCCGCTTTACTACACCAGCATTTAAGGGAAGGATTTCAGGCTCTACGTGAACTTACCTGGCCCATGTAATTGAAGCAGTGCTTGTTGAAGATGGAGTTAATCTGGGGATCTGGAAGAGCACTGAAGAGCAGTGTCTGACGGTAGTACTTGGACCAGTTATTGAGATTCAGCATGCGCACTCGGGAGAAGTCTACCCCATGGGAATCCAGAGGCAGGAGGTTCGTGTGCTTCATCAGGTGCTGCACAAAAGGAAACACAGGCTCATCCTGTTGCTCCCATGCTGCAAGAGCCTCCACTGCAGCAGGAAAAGAGCAAGGACGAGTAAGGCAGCACAGAACAACCACCACAAATGCTCCCGACGCAACTGGAGCTGACAGACAACAGCAAGAACAGTTTGGTCTGGTCAGCGTTACGGTCTGGTCGGCGTTACCATCTGGTGCAGTCTCAGCTTCCAATTTTCTCCCACCTGGCATGGATAGCAGGATTTATGTTTGTTCGCATTAAGACAAGCTCAGGAACCTCAGGTCTATTCAAGAAAGCTTAAATGCACTTCTCTCACTCAGGGAAAATTCGGTTGGAAGTGAAAAAAAATCATAGCTCTTTGGCTTCACTGCTGTCTAAGCTGCTGCACTTCTTGTGCCCATAAAAAAAAAAACCAGGAAACAATTTCCAGGACACACACTTCAGATATTAAGCAGGCTCACATAACCTTCCTCAGATTCCTGAGAAAACAAGATTCCTTCTGGACTCTAAACTCCAGATATACAGTAATACCATGCTCTCAAAGCACCTAGCCCAGGTACCCTCAGGAGTGTTTTAATACGAAAAGAAACCTTTCATCTTTGGAAGTTTGATTAACCAAGAGTCAAGAATGTGGATTCTACTCCACACTATGCAAATCCTTGCACTATATTTTCATTACACATACAGAGAAGTCCTCCTACTGTTCTAGTTAGGACATGACTAATGTTTAACATCCCTCTACATTCAATGGAGAAAAGCAACAGCTCCCATTGCACAGCCTAATTTAGGTTCTTCCAGTAGGCAAGTTCCTTACATGGCTGCAATCTAAATGAGGCACTGGGCACTCAGACAACTGGCATCTTTTCGGCATGTTTTCTGCCAGGCATGATTAAAGAAATCATCATTATCTCATCCTGCAAGGTAACTACAACTGTCCAAAAACAAACAAACAAAAAAAACACCACACAACCCCACCCATCCACAAGCCCTGATGAAGTTTACCAGTAAGGCACCAAATACAAAGATTTACAGGGTATAGGTGGTGATGAATACTACCAAAATCCACAGGTGGATTATTCTGAGCATGAGAAAATACCAGGCTTAAGGGAAGGAAGGATATGCATCAGGAAGACCATCAGCAAGAAAATGCCTATAACCCTTCACTTCTGGAAAAAAAAAAGTTGCGTCAGAACAAGACACAGTAAGTCAAAAACAGTATAAGTGAAAACCCACCTGAACATGTTCCCAATTCTGCATCAGGTAAATATCTGCTTGGTCAATTATGAGAATTTCTATAGATGACAGAAAATCAAAATCTCTTTTCTTCTCTCCCTCCGCGCCAATAACAGTCCTCATGCCCAGGGGAGAGGCAATGATGATGTCTGAGGAGTAAAACGGCGCGTACAACCTCATGCTCTTTTGGAGAATCGCAACCCCTGTCCAAAAAAAGCCAACAACAGTGTTTTAGTAAAGTCAGTCACCAACTTATTTTCTTCTAGAGCCATCTGTAACCAAAACTGCTTACATTTCCTCTCCCTTCACACGTACCAAGGGCTCAACAAAACAATTCTAGCCAGAATTCTTATTTTGCTGAAAATCTACCTTCCCTTCCACTGTTCCCCTCATACTCCATATTAGTCTATCTGGGAAAAAAACCAAAAAGTAGATTTGCATGGAGTGCAGTAACCTCAGTAACATGCTTCCCCCCAGATTCTTCATACTCAGAATGATGCTTTTGAACAGAAACAGATTTTTCTCTACTTCCAACTGAAATTTGGAGGAAAGGCGGGCCGAATACGAAAGACAAATGTGTTCTTGCACAAACACAAACAAGAAATCCTCCCAGAAGCTGAGCTGTGAGAGTGGAAACTCATTTCTTGCCTTTGATTTTTATCATCGTAATCTGGCATGAAAGACTCAGTGGAGATCTCCTGAAAGCAGAGACTGCTTTCCTTCACAGGACCACAAGAGTCATCAACATTCTCACCTCCGTGTGCGGAGCCAACTATCATGGGCACAATGGAAGAGGTTTTTAAGAACTTCACCCATACATCAATAACCACCTCTCCTGCTCTCTTATTTAACCCAATGATAAACATTAAGAAACTGTCACAAATGGCTCAATTTCCAAGGTATGACTGGTTGCAGAACACATTAGCACATATGGAGTTTAAGCTGAACAACTTTTTTTGTTGTTATTGTTAAGAATGTGAAACAATGACTTCAGCAAGGTCATTTAAAGTACATAAGAAATGTACTTGAAATTACATTTTAGTGCTAAATTCACAAAGTGTGAAGCACAATAATTCCACTGCTTCTGCAGGCACCAGCACAGTAAGTTTCTTCAAGCACTTCTTCACAATAAGTGGATCAAGCAGACTGTAGTATGGGAAGGGATTGAAAAGAAGTTATTTTGCTCCAGAAAGTAAGATGCTCTCAGCAAGACAGATATTCACTTGAAAAGAAAGAATGAGTGGGAACTGCTTGCGTCCTCCACTGTATCATTAAATCTCTTGGGATGCCAATTTACGCTTTAAGGGGCAATAATTTTAAGAGCTTCTTATCTGTCAAGAGAAGTTAGAAGAACTGCCTACTCATCCTGGCAGCTCCAGCAACGAAGCTGCTAGCTAATTCTCTCCATACCGAGTTACCAAACCAGCATGAAAGCACAATATTATGAAAGAGACTTAAAATTTGCTACTCTGCCAATGGTCCTTCTTGCTCGCTATCGCTCTTCGCATGCAAGAAAACCATAGGCAGTACCACAGAAAATTGCTTTGCTCAGTATCAAGCTTCAAATTTTGTTCCAGTTAATATGGACTACATAATAAATTGTAAGCAAGCTCATCTAGCCTGAAAGGTTTTCTTATGTAAAAGTTTGTTGAATAATCAAGACTACTAGAGATATGGGCAATTGTGCCACTATAATGCAATCACTGAATTCTGATTTAAGTGCTTCTGAATGTGATGTGGAGAAAAAAAAAAAAAAAAAAAACACATTAGTTTCATGTTTCTTTTTCAAGTTTTGGCAAGGCAGGGAATATTTTGCCAATCCAAATAGAGCATAAGATCCTCTGAATCTGAAGTCTCATTAGAGCTTCCAGTCCTAATGGTGACTTTCAGCCATCTAGGAAGAACTAGTTCAGATGACTCCTGGCTTCTTTGCAAGTAAAAGATGATCAGTTTGGTGGGTCAGTACCGATTCTGAAGTGGTCATCGATGTTGCCAGCAAAGACAGCTTCATAGTCTTCGGGTCTTTTCAGGTTGGGGGGCTTCTCTTCTGGGTCAGAGCCAAACTCCCCCTTGAAGCGCTTCTTATTGCTCACATCTATTTTTTTGTCACTGTTCACTTCCAGGAGACTGATGAGGTTGTGCACAATTCGCAACGCGCATTCCCGAAAGGGCACCACCATCAGTACCTGCATACAGACCAACACGTTACAACAGAACAGCCCTTAAAATACAAATATCCACATGCTAAGTAACTATCCATTGTGTTAAGCAATTATTTTGACTCAGACCTGTACCTATTAGGTCTCCCGACAACCAAAGAGAAATGACAAAACCCCAGTGTAACAAGCAGACCTGTGCCATACAGCAGAAGCACATGCTCTGTGCCGAAACAGGTCCCCAGTTTTTGACTCCCTCATCGTGTGCCCCCGATAAGCTTCTTGGAGTAAAGGCAGACAGAGCCCAATGGGTTGCAGAACAGGCAAAATTAGGCCATCCAGCAAGGAGGGAGAATGCCCTTGTCAGCAGCTCAGCCTATTTCTCCAGCTCACACATAGAGCATCACTACCAGGAACTTAACACCAGGCACAGCCTCCTGTGCTCCCCACCTAAACAAGTGGCAGCATTTTCAGTCTCCCAGCTCTACCAAATTGCACAATATGTGGGTAAGGGCAAAGTTTCATTCTTGAGTGTGTGGCAACAGCAGCTCATCATGCAGAGAGATTTGGGGAGCCTAAGTGGCAAGTTACCACTGAAACAAAAACAGAAGCATTTGCCAGGGGTGCAGGAAATACTGAAATCTGGCTTTGAAACTATTCAGCAGGTAAATTGGCACCACCTGTGACAGGTCAGCCAAAACCAACTCTAACTAGTTATCAACTAGAGGAAACTGTGGATTAGTGAGATGTACTCCAAAAAAATGATGTTTTTAACCGTGGGAGAGAGAGTACAGCTCTCATCACACAACAGGAGCGTGGGTGAGTCTCCCACTAAAGTAGGCTGTACTAAAGAGGAGTGCCTGGAGCAAAGCACAACATGGTGGGACAAGGGGAAGGCAGAAGGAACTAGCTGAGCTCTTCCAGGAGACCAAGGCCATGCAAACCAGTCCTTACAAGTGGATAAGGACAAGAAAACAATCCCCTGAGACATCCCACATGGGTGACAGCCTCCACTAACTGCACTAATATTGATGATGAATGCGGAGACGCTTTCAACAGTGGCAGGTTCAGAAATGGAAGCAGAAGGCAACAGGTCAGTCTGCAGCAATAACAGGACGTGGAGAAAGGTAAGCCAAGCTCACCACAGAAAGAGGTTGACTGACAAACTTATACTCTCTACCACTTCTAACAGGGTATTTGCCCTGGCCCAACGCAGACAGCTGCCAGGCACAACGCAGGGATATATAAAGGCACACACCTGGGAACATGCCGCACAACAGAGTGGCAATGGATATATTTCACCATAAAACACTGGGACTTTTATGTGGTCTGACCAAACACTCTAGGTAGAGGGGAATCACAGAGTAAGTTCTCTTACCTTAGGTCTAGTGAGTCCTTGATCTCTGTATTCATCAGTATCAATCCCTGGCTTTCGGTCCCTTCGTTTAGCATTATTGCTAAGCACCTGGGCATTTGCCTTCAGGACATGGTTCAGTGCATGCAGGCAATAAGCAAGGCGAATTTCTTCTCCATTTGTTAAAGCAGTGCTTTCTGGATAGAACAAGTCCCTGTATGTATTCATGATGCAGAAGAGCTCTCTTTGTAGCGGAGTAAAACAGGAATCATACGATTTGTTCAGCGAGGAGAGCAACTGTTTGTTCACTTTTGGCCAAGTGACCTCTAAAGGCTTGTGAAGATGAAGCTGCTTCATATCAACTTCTTTGTCTGGCTTTAAGGTTTTCTGTTTCTCCAAAGTGGATGAAAAAGTTAGCTGGCCCAGCCTTGGCCACTAAAAGAAAAGAAGAGTCAAATGCATCAAGCTTCATACAGCTAAAGCACACCACTACTGACGTCAGTTTAATAAAGTTCATCAAGTTTGAAAAAATTATATTTTCATAATACAAATCAAAATCATTCCTTCAACTATGCAGTATCTTTTTTTCCTTTAATACACAATGGAAAATAAGAATTTCCTTATTTAACAACAAACAACAACTGTTGAACAAGATGGCAATCACAACACTCCTTTCATAAATGAAAAAGGAAGAGAAAGGAAGTCACTTCTGGCCAACTTGAGCTTGCAAATCAACGGCACAAAACATGGACAAGACAAGAGCACAGGTGTCCACTTCTGCTTATAGATTAACCACTCTGCATTATTTAAAGAAAAAAAAATCAATTAGGGACTAACCCCAGAAGTCTGGGGTCCATTACCAAATGCCAGTCCAGATGGAGACTGTTTAATTTCCAGAGGGAAAGCTGTAGTAAGGGGAAGAATAAATCTTTCAGCTTCTTGCCATGTAAGTTGTCTCAACCTATTTCTGCAAAATAGCTACATGAAACTAGCCAAAGATAGGTAGTATATTGCTTCAGGTGGCACTGAGGAAGAAAAAGTACAGTTTGCTCTGAATAACCATTGGACACCTTTCAATGAATGCCACCCAGCATATGGCTGACCAGAACGCAAGGCAAACCTCCAAAACAAAACCAGGCATGAAAAGGTTAGGAAGCAACTGTTTGTCTAAAAGTTAATATTTGAAAAATAACATTATTTCAAGCAATGAAATGTTTTCTAATACTGTAATCGATGCATTAATTCCAAAGTTAACAATTGAATATTGGAATTTACCTTTACCTGCGTGCAAATATACACGCTTTATCTTTATAAAGCCATTCCGAAACAAAAAGATTAAGCTTTGACGCTCTGTACTTTTAAGACTACACACAGTCCCTTCAAATTCAGTCACAGAGCAAGTCCCTGGGATTGTGCTGTTACCCTTCAAAGTCACCTGTTCCATCCAGGCTCAAAAGTAGTACCTGTGGCTTCACAATTACAGATAAGACTCTAAACCTAAGTTTCTCTGACGTGTCACTTTATGCCTACATTACAGCTGACTTTAGATTCAAGTGTAATTTAGTGCTGAGCAAAGAATAAAACAACCTGACAAAGCCTTGACAACACCAATGGCAACAGCTAATAACAATTAAGAATTTACTTGCATAAAAAGATTATTTTAATCCCAGAATCTTCAGGAACTCCGGACAGCTTCAGAAAACTATTACCTTTATTTGACTTGAAGACTTAGAAAGTGTAGACATTTTTTCTACTTCTTTTTCTTCCATTTCTTTGTCCATATGTTGCTTAAATGGGTCTGTTTAAAACAAAACAAAATAAAGAAAAAAACCACAGAATTATTGTAGCTAATACTATAACTGAGTTTCAGAATGGATTTGTCAAGGACAGTATTTCTCTGCTGGCTAACCTAAATCTAGTTATTCCAGAACACTTTGAGACAGAGACAGGATGTCAAATTCTCTCTACAAAAACAAAAGAAAGATTTGACAGACTACTTCTTATTTATTTATAATAAAAAAAGACATTCCTCTGGATGTACTACCATTTTCAATAACAAGAGCTGGACAGTAAAGCAGTATGCAGCCAGGAAAACTGCTGTGACAGTGTGCAGTGGGAAGTCCACAGTGATCTTCAGTCTTTAGCTCCTTTTTCAGTTAAGACCAACACAGACTATTAAAAAAAAAAATCACATGATATTTCAAGACACAGGCATGCACAAGTCACATGCAAAGCTTATTTTGAAAACCAAACCCTGTGTATTGATTGCTAAGAGGAGCTACACATGCATAAAGTAAAATAATAAGAACATTAATGCCTGATACCCAGCCCACGTACAAGCTGTCCAGGCAGAAGTCAAGACACTTGCTAGTCATGATGTTGCCAAGAATATCTCCTCAGGAATGCAGATAAATGAGATATCATTTAATTGCAATTTAGGCTCACTCTGCAATGCGTTTTAATGATACCAGCATTGGTTACACAAAGTAAAAGGAATGAAGTAAAGTATTTCGAGAGATTCTAGCGACAATAGAACTATCACCTGGGCTATTTTATTCATCTTCTGTAAAACAATTACATGAACCCACTGAAAAGCATTGCCTCCTCTACAGGCTGAACAAAGCTGTGTGATACTGTGTGATGCATTTGGAGGTGGTGGTTTTCATTAGAATGCAATGCCAACAGCATAAGTAATATTCTCAGGGTAACAAGAATGAGCTGGGTCTCCCCCCCACCACCACCACATGGCCCTGTGATGCTTTCACTCACTTCATGTATCAGCCAGGCTGTCCCCCAGATCTGATATCAGCTGCTGCTCTAGGGTGATAAGCCAGCACCAGGGATGCAGGGATGCTGCAAATATATTCCCCTCTCGCACACGATGCCATCCGACGTGAATACGACATCGCATAAAATATGAACAGAAGCTCTGCGAGTGCTAGCACAGGGTATAACCATTTAGAGCTCACACAGGGGGACAACTCCAGTCCCAGGGCTCAGACTGCCCCCCCTGAGCACACCACACCGTTCAGAGGTTCTCGTCCCACATCTGCAGTTCCTGACATTTCATCTTAAGAAGTCAGGACAGCAACCACACAGATCCTGTTAGTGTGGGCTAAGGAAGACCCATGCAGAATCCCTCAGTTTTAGTGGGCTAACGCAATACCCGCTGCATTAGCTTTAATGTCCTTTACATAACCAGCTCACACGTGGAAGATAAAATGTGTAGTGTACCAGAAGCTCTACAGCATGTCGTTAGGGAGTTCCACAACTTGCACGTCTTTACAGATGCTCCTCTAGAGACACATCACTAAACAGAAACATACTGTGAGTTACCTTCTGAAGAGGCTTGTGTGGTGCTGCTCCTTCTCTCATCTGCATCGTGATCTCCACTCTCCTCTTCCATGAAATTGTTTTCCAAGCTGAATTCAGATTCATGTTTCACATCAGTGAACTCCTCAATTACTCCATGTCTAGGGTCATGTGACACGTCTGCACCATCAGCCTGCTCCTCACCAAGTGTCTGCCCTGCTGCAGCTGTGATTTGTTGGAAAGAGAAATAAGTGAAGTTCTCCTGGAAGAGTTGCTATCTATAGCTACCTTTTATTGTCTAGGTTGTTAATTTTTAGTTACTAGATCTTTTTTTCTTCAAATTACCTAAATTCCCCCCCAAAAAAAACCAAAAAACAGACCAAAACAGACAAAAAGCGGTAGTGCACTTTGCAGTAACATAGACTTTGGTCTCACCAGTCATATGCTGCACAGTACATGACATACATTGCCCTAGGGAAGGATTTAAGATATATTCTATTCAGAGCTTAGAAGTTTCAGTTGCCAAAGACCCTAACTTTTTAAAAATTATAAAATGTTGAGTCCTCCTTCCCACATTTTTCCCCACAGATAAACGAGTTTCTCTCCTTTTAAAGGAGGTGCTTTTCTTTAAATATTCTTTCCCCTACCACAAGGCAAACCCTTCTCTCCTCCCTGTGGCAGCAGCCAAACCAGATGCTGTGCGAGACAACAGCTTGCGTTTTGCAGCACGAGAGGAAGCAGCCCTGGTACCCTGCTCCTTGCGGATTCCCCCTCGCTGCCGCGCCAACAACATCTGAGGGAAACATCAGCGGGCTGTCTGCCGGAACACGAGCAATCAGCTTCTCCCCTGCTAAATCCTCCAGCAGCTGCTGCTGCCACCCACACAGCGGCAGCGGAGCAACAGTCTCTCCAGAGCAGAAGAGCACCCAGCCAACAAGCCAGGCTAAACCAGGAGTCTTGCTAAGACAGCTACTTTCAAATTTGCTACTTGAAATATTTTTTAGCAATGCAAAGGAGAAGACAAAATACCTTCTTTATCTGGCATATCATTCTCATCTTCTTCACCACCTTCTGCTTCTCCATTCTCTTGGTACTCTTCACTGTCCACTTCTGTGCCACTTTCCCCAGCTTCTTCCGATTCACTTTCATCATCGTCATCATCATCATCTTCACTCTCAGACTCAGGAGAGGTCTTCAATGTAGCCAGCAGTTTGTGATACACTGAGGCCTGCTCAGGTTCAGTCTCCGAATCACTTTCGGCACTTGATTTATCTGAATTCTCAGACTGGAAATGAAAACAGAAGCATAAGAGCAAGAACAGTAACAACCTATGGACTGGTAGACAACATCCCAATACGCTTCCTCTAGCTCCTTCTCCCAGCCTATCCTTACTTAGATGCAATGGAGAATTTCAAGAAATACCCTATTTTATGCAACTGGTTATGCTGGACATCTCTATTCAAATTTTGGAAATACCTTAGCACACTTAGACACATATGAATTTCAACAACAACAAAAAAAATACACACAATACACTTGAAGGTAATTCTATTCTTAAGATCTTACTCAGCAAGTATTTCAGAAATTCCAAATATCATAATGTTAGGCTAAATTACCAAACTACTGGCAAGAATCAAAGTTTATGGGTGCCATATTTTTGTTCCTTATAAACACTGGTATGTTATATCAATGAAGTCTTGTTGAATGTCTGTATGAATGAAGATAGTCTCCAGTTACAAGAATCTGTCCACCCTTCCTTATCTCTAACAAATTCAATTACTAGTTTTTAAAATACTGACTAACGAGTAGATCGTTCTGCACCGATTTAACTCAGGTCAGCACATCAAACAGATCAGCACGAAACGTGGCACACTCAGTCTCCACCAAGTCAGTGCATGTGAGCGCCACGCTCTTACTAAAGCACTGCTGAATTCTCCTAAGAAAACCACACACAGAGCAACACAGAACTGCAGAACAACACACATATCCAACTAGTACTTTACTTCTTCCTTTCTTCCCAAAGGGAACATCAGTATATAAAATACTAATTAAAAAAAAAAAAAAAAAAAAAAAGGAACATTTTTTTTTCACACCGAAACTGCAAAGCTATTCAAAGTTCAATCAAGATCTATCAAAAACTTTCAAATTTTTAATTAATCTGAGGGTAAATGAGGGTAACAAGCCCTCACTTAAACCCAAGGTACAGCATTGGCTCTCTAAAGCGGTGCACATTAACATACTCCTTCAGACAACAGAAAAGTCTGTTGTTGAGCAGAGAACAAAACATTTTTTTCTAATTTTCACTAAAGGGGTCTGTGTAAACAAAGTTCAATAGTGTTTAAATAATTAAAAAATACACTTTTCATCAGGACCAAGCCATACGCAAAAAAAAAACCAAATGAGATCAGCAGGGCTATTTCCTGCTGCTTCTGCCCTCTCATGGTATCAGTTTTGACTTAGAACCTGCACAGAAGAATTAAAAACTTTCTTCCTCCTAAAGGCAGCTTTTCTAAACATAATAACTAAATCTGTCCGAATTTGCAATGTGAAATGCTAAGTGTTGTTCTGTTGTCAGTTGAGTGACAAGAGGGAATTGAGGAATAAGAAAAAAAAAATCTCTTACCAGGTCACAGATTTGAGTTGCTTCTGGTCTTTCGGAAACCCTGAAAAGAGAGCACTGAAATACTGTACTCTGTCAGGGGTGTTAAACACGGCAGAAAACAGGAGACAGGGAGAAGGAAGGGAATAGTCAAGCTATACAAGCCTCAGTGAAGTTAAAGTTTGAAACAGAAGCTTTGTGCACTCCCCATTTCCAAAAACAACAGCCTCAGCTCTTGGCCTCAGCATGAGGCACCTGAATGCTAAAACTGTTTAAGGAAAAAACAAAAAAAAAAAAACAAAAACAAACAAACAAAAAAAAAACCCCAAACTTCCACTCATTTTCCAGCTTTAATTATAAGGTCACGTGTTACAAAGCATCTATTCACACAGGTGAAAACTGAAAAAGAGCTTCAGAAATTTCTTACACAGTATCTAGGGGGTCTGGAGAAGGAGAGAAAATAAAACAAAACAAAACAAGAACCCCACCATGTGTAAAGGGCATCCCACCAGCCCAGAGGTACCAGCGAGAGGGCAGCAGAAAGGCGTTTAAAGGAGCATGGAAGCGAGAGAGGCTACAAGGATCTCCGGAGCTGGGGAGGAAGCGGGACCGGCGTGGCCTACACGAGATGGCTATCGGGAAGCAGGACCGAGGGAAGACGAGATCGGCCTCGGTGCTCATGGGCGGCTGCGATTACCCAGCTGGCCGGGCCTCTGCACCCAGGCGGCAGCAGCCAAGCTCGGGCTTTATTACGAGCAAAGTTT